CCCCTTTGCCTTCTCCTCCTGAGTCCTCTCTTCCTGCTCTTCCCGACCCGGAGTCGGACTCTCTTCGTGCTGCCAGTCCTACTGTCACGCGTCTCCTTGCTGCTGTCGTCACTGACCCTTCCTTTGAGTCCACTGCTGCGTCTGCCCTAGTTGCTGAGCTCGTCGACTTTGCTGCTCGCTGTCGTCTAGACTACGCTGCTAGTCTTGTCGTTGAGTCTGAGTCTGTCTGTCCTCCGTCCGTCGGGGGTGAGTGTGCCCTTGGCACGGACGTCCTTGAGGACAGGCAGGAGGAGTTCCAGTGTTTGGCTGCTGCTTCACCTCATCTCGTGTCCGTACTGCTTACCCCTGAGGGAGACCCGGATGCACTTGACATCCCGACTCCGCGCTCTTACGCGGAGGCGATAGAGGGTCCCTAATCCTCTCAGTGGCAGGCAGCTATGGACACAGAGATGGCTTCCTGGAAGTCCACAGGCACCTACGTTGACGAGGTTCCCCCGCCTGGGGCGAACATCGTCAGTGGCATGTGGATTTTCAGGGTGAAGCGACCGCCGGGTTCTCCGCCTGTCTTCAAGGCGCGTTACGTGGCTCGTGGCTTCAGTCAGCGGCAGGGAGTTGACTACTTTCAGACCTTCTCTCCCACCCCGAAGATGACCACTCTTCGGGTACTGCTGCACATAGCTGCTCACCGCGACTACGAGCTGCACTCTCTTGACTTCAGCACTGCTTTCTTGCAGGGCAGCCTGCACGAGGAGATCTGGCTGCGTCGCCCACCTGGCTTCACTGGGTCTTTTCCTCCTGGCACCCAGTGGAGCCTCCGGCGGCCAGTCTACGGTCTCCGCCAGGCACCGCGTGAGTGGCACGACACACTGAGGACTACACTTGCGGCTCTTGGGTTTGCTCCCTCTACTGCCGACCCGTCGCTGTTTCTGCGCACCGACACTTCTTTGCCGCCGTTCTACATCCTCGTGTACGTCGACGACTTGGTCTTTGCCACAGCTGACACTGCTGGACTCGCCCACGTGAAGTCCGAGCTGCAGAAGAGACACACGTGCACAGACCTGGGTGAACTGCGCAGCTACCTTGGCTTGCAGATCACCCGGGACAGAGCACGCCGCACCATTACCCTGACTCAGTCACACATGGTGCAGCAGGTCCTTCAGCGCTTCGACTTCACGTACTCCTCGCCTCAGGCCACTCCTCTGCCTACTCGCCACTCGCTCTCAGCTCTGCCTTCGGATGAGTCCGTAGAGTCGAGTGGCCCGTACCCAGAGCTTGTTGGCTGCCTCATGTACCCGATGACCTGCACACGACCTGACCTCGCATACCCTCTTAGCATTCTCGCACGCTATGTTGGTCCTGGGAGACACAGACCGGAGCACATGGCTGCAGCGAAGAGGGTGTTGCGTTACTTGTGCAGTACGTCGGGCATGGGGCTTGTGCTTGGAGGGCAGAGTCCAGTGGTCCTCACTGGGCACGCAGACGCTTCTTGGGCTGACGACCAGGCTACGCAGCGGTCGTCACAGGGTTACACCTTCAGCCTTGGTTCCGGCTCTGTTTCGTGGCGGGCTACCCGCTCGTCTTCTGTTCTCGGCTCCAGTTGTGAGGCTGAGATCTACGCCGGGGCCATGGCTGCACAGGAGCTTCGCTGGCTCACCTACCTGCTGACTGACCTCGGAGAGCCGCCTCGTTCTCCTCCAGTGCTGTACGTAGACAACAAGGCCATGCTGGCCTTGTGTCGAGAGCAGAGACTGGAGGACACAACGAAGCACATTGCTCTCCGCTACTTCCTTGCTCGTGAGCTACAGCAGCGTGGTCAGCTGCGGCTTGCGTACGTGGCCTCTCAGGCCAACACTGCTGATATCTTCACCAAGGCACTTGCGCCTTGTGATCATCAGCGCTTCTGTACTCAGCTGGGTCTTGTGCCTACCTTGCCTCACTTGCTCACCCCTTGACCTTGTTTGTACTGTTGCATATATATATACACCTGCTCTTGCTTGTCTAGCCTTATATATATATATGTAATCCTGCATGTGAACTGGCCTTGTGGCCTTGAACTTGTGCTCGGACTGTGTGGTGACTTTGTGATCCACCCTGAGCTTGCTTTGCTTTGCTTGACTGGTCTTGTGACCCCTTGTTCTCCCCCACTTTGCCTATGGGGGTGTGTCAGATTTATATGACATAGCTACTGTAGGCTATAGTGGGGTAGCACATATGGGGTACAGTTTTCTAGGGTTTACATTTGTACCCAACTTTCCCTTAGTCAATTCATTCTCGTTCAGTTTCTCAAAACTATGTATATTGAAAATTTTGAAGGAGCTAAAAAACGTAATCGCATGATAGGGAAGTGTCACTCGAAACTGTTCCAATCGCCAGCCAACAAAATATCGATATCGCACGCCTTAAACTCTTGTCTGATTGGTCCACGTGGCAAGTTTTTGTGCGTCGATATGAATCTGATCCTACGGTTGTCGTTAGCGTACAGTGTCAGCCACGTCAGCATGTTTCAGTTTCATCTCGAGTACGTTGTATGCCACGTGGCGTACTCGTGACACTTTCGCAGTGGTTGCTCAGAAGTAACTTTCCGCAACTTTGAGGTTGATTTAGCGTATACCGGGTTAGTTGCGTACTAGTATGCAGTTTATCCCGAAGTTGCCTCATCCTTCCTACCTGGGTCACAAAGTCCAACCAAGCTTCCTACCTTTGGTTTTGTCACTAAGTCCAACCAACCTTCCTACCTTTGAAACCTGTGGACCCTGGGTTTTAAGCACCCACGATTTTGAACCTTGACTTTTTTCTTGCGTTTTTCAAGTAACCCTAGAGTTGCGGTTTCGTTACTTTCAAGTTGCATTTCGCACTTCCCTTTTCCGAGATGACGTCACGGTCAGTTAACAGGCAGAACGCGCGGCCCAGACGGCCGTTAAAGTCGTAGCGCGTGCCGTGGGCGCCGACAAGATGCGGGTCGTTAGCAGCGTTAGGGTTGGCACAGCCTGGCCCGATACGCCCCTGGTCTTTCGCGTTCGCTGCACCAGTTTCAATCCCGTATACGTATTTCGAACAGTCCACCTTGCCCGCGTAAAGGTTACACGTAGGAGGGCTGCAAACAAAGGAAGGGATGACGGTAACGTGATTAAGTCGGCTTAACGTGAGTGATGAGAACTATTGTCCTCGGCGGAGCGTCGAATCAAACGGTCACAGGTCACCCTTAACACGGTGTGTAACTCGCAGCACTCACAAAGCGCGCTCTCGCTCGTCTCCCGGAATGTATTGTATGTATTGCCAGAAGTTGCATCCGTTGGCTGGTGAGCACTTTGCGGCACACTGCTTCGGACCGCCGTCGATACCTTCGATTTCCTCCATGAGCTGACCCCCCATAGCGTAGCGAAAGAAGCTTCCCGCGATTCCTGGGATCTCGCTAGAAGGCGAGTTGCTCCCGCAGTTATCCAAGGTCATACCAATTTCGCACTTCTGTATCATCTCCTTGCGTGATGGGAACGGGCTCGCAGCCCAGGAAAGGCTGACTGTAACTAGGAGCGATGATAGAACCAGTAGCCGCGCCGCGGAGGTTTTGCCGGTTCTGGAGGAACGAGTCGTTCCTCTGCGCATCGTCGCCATTGTGATAGGCTCTAAGGTGAGCTTGGAAAAGGTGGTTTGAGATTACCGATATGAGAGAGCTTGAATGCTGCACCAGACTCACTGCACTACACCTGGAATGAAGTGGTGTGGTGGGCCGTGATAGCGTTTTCGAGGTCCTGCTGTTGTGGGGGTGGTGAGTGAGAGACGGCAGGTAAGGCAAACATCACGTCGTGTGTTTCCGAGCTTTTAGGGTGTTTTGTTTTGGTTTTGCGTTGATTAGAAAACGACGTCATCATACCTGCGACTGCTTCCGCTACCACAATAGCGTTTTGGTTCTGCCTAGAGGTGGATGGACAGGTGGTCCATTCCCATGCGTTGTGAATTGCTAATAGCTGTGGGGCATTGTGTGTGTAAAACATTTTCGGCAGAATGTTTAGCCCGTCGTGACAAGCCACCTCCCTCCTGTCCGTCATCCCTACCTCGGAAAGGCAAATCTCCGAAAGCGGGAAATGGCAGAGTGCATTGACGCATACAGTACACCCTCTTTCTCGCCATACTGACGTCCGCTATACTGACTTCCAGAGTGAAAAAGCTCGGTTGAGGTTGGCTGATTTAGGTTTCGGTATGGTTCATTTGGGCAAATCGAATAGGACAAGGCCAGCCTGCCAGTTACGCGCGGGTCAGTGTAGCGAGAAACAGGGTGTACGCAGGTTGCTATCTGTTTCCATTGGCGAATGTTGGCTTCCCTGCCTGCCAATACTACAGTGCAAGAGACTGACCTGAACCAGGTCTCGTGCCAGGGCTTTCTTCACCTGACACCGAGTCGCATGCCAGAGTTTACCGATCGACTGATCCAGGCCGTCCACGTGGCAGTCTCGTAGGCAGGAGAGCCATCGTGCTGCCTGGAAATGCATCTGAACCAATTCGCACTCACATGAACCGTGTGATCGCTAGTGTGAAGTCAATTCAAGGTGTGTATGCATATGGGACGCCTTTGTATATGTTTGGGACCTTATCACCACACCTAACATACAACTATATTACTATGATTCGATTGCTCTTCTAATGCGACCAGGTACCAGTTAGTTGACAGCCCTTCCTAAGTTTGCACCCAAGGCGTATCAACATCCTGATTTATATCATATTTCATATGGATATCCAGCAAGCTTTCTGAAAATGAGATAATTAATTTCTGAATACCGTATTACACAACAGACAAACTAATTATTATCACCACATCCAAAGGAATGTTGCTGTACAAAAGATGGGCATATGTTAAAATAGTATCGGAGAAGGGGTACTTCTGATTTGTGCTTTTGAATTCTTTCCCTCCTGGCTTGAGTAAGAGGGAAATTCAACCTGAAATGGCTATCATACTGGCCGTTTCCAGCTCATTTTGCAAAGCCTTGCGTTTAACTTTGCTCTGCATGCTAGGCCGTGTTAGTGTATTGAGATATCGAATGGCGGCCCCCGCCGAGCTCGCTGCGATGGATCCAGGCGTTTTGGATGACATCGATGCGATGGTGAAGGATCAGGAGCGAGTGGTGAGTACAGCGGCTAGATTAGAGTCATTCTCTCCTAATGGCTGCGATCGAGAAGGAGAGGAAGGTGATTGAGGCGGTCTCTCAAGTACGTGAATCTTGGGCTCGAGCAAGCACAAACTCTGTTCATTATCCCCGCTAGAGGAGTTATCAGGACTAGTCTGAATCCATCCGTTCCTTGGTTTATTATGATGCTTCTCACATTTACCTAGTTTCTCTGAGTATACCCGATGTTAGAAACTTTGCGGTGTACCTGATTTGCAGCTTGACATTCCTCCGAGCCTTCCATTCGCACTCTAAACCAGGCAAGGAATCGGAGGCGTAAGTACGTGCGTACGTACGTACATACGTTCGTACGCGCGTTCCGTACCTTCCGATTCATAATCCGCTCGGCTACTTGCGAGAGGTTTCATTTCACCAAGCCACGCCTACCGTCCATTCATCTCCCCTTCCGTCGCAGGTCACGGCGAAGTTTCTCTCTCGCTCGCTCTCCCTGCCTCTGCGCCAGGCGAAAAGGTGCGGCCGAGTGTCGCATTGATGATTTCTCCCATTCCGGCTCCCCCTTCTGCCTTTTTTACTCCCGTTGCAGCCTTTCCTCCAACCCTTCCTGTTCCCGCTCTTCCTCCGTCACCACTTTTCCGCCACCACTTTTCCGCCACCGCTTTTCCGCCATCACTTTTCCGCCATCACTTTTCCGCCACCCTCCTGTCCGCCTCTCTCCCTCCACCTCCGCTTTCCGCCACTCTCCCCCCCGCCACCCCCTTGTCCGCCATTCTCTCGTCCCCGCTCCCCTCCGCCAGCCTCTCCTTCCTGTCGTCATTCCCCACCTCTGTGCTGGTTACCCTGAGCTGGTTACCCTGAGCTGGTTACCCTGAGCTGGTTACCTTGAGCTGGTTACCCTGAGCTGGTTACCCTGAGCTGGTTACCCTGAGCTGGTTACCCTGAGCTGGTTACCCTGAGCTGGTTATCCTGAGGTGGTTACGCTGAGCTGGTTACCCTGAGCTGGTTACCCTGTGCTGGTTACCCTGAGCTGTTTACCCTGAGCTGGTTACCCTGTGATGGTTATCCTGTGCTGATTTGCTGGTACCGTTGCTAGTTTCCATTGCTAGTTACCCTGAGATGGTTACCCTGTCGTCCCCTTCGCCCACGCAGCGTGTTACAGGGTTACTGGGAGCAGCACAAGGAGGAGGTGACAGCTGTTTGGGTCGTGTCGGGATGGGTTAGTAATGGAGATGGGGTGAAAGTGAAAGCAGCAGAAGGAGCGACAGTGACAGCAGCAGGAGCGGAAGCAGAGAGGGCCGCAGGAGAGCAGCAGATGGTGAAGGAGTTTCGCATGCGGCTGGTGCCCTCTGCCCTCCTCGCCGGTAATCCCTGTCCCCTGGTTGCTTGTGTGAGATGTATATCCCCAAGAAGTTCTTTTAGGAAGCAGCGATGGCAGCAGGAGAGCAGCAGATGGTGAAGGAGTTTCGCATGCGGCTGGTGCCCTCTGCTCTCCTCGCCGGTAATCCCTGCCCCCTTGTTGCTCCGCACGGCAGGAGAAGAGAACCACGTTTGTGTTCTTTCATCTCCAGCGCTGCAGCAGGTTCGCATATTTAAAAGGAGCCGGTGCAAGAACGTGCCTAAATTTGTGACTCTTTCCTCTGCCTCACCTGCCCGTGGAATATGCGCAGAAGCAGAGGAGGCAATGAAGGGAGCTTCGGCCCACATTTACAGTGTGCAAAGGCGGTTACCGCGAGACCTGGCTGTTCTCTGTGCTGCCGATGGGGCCATGGGCAACGGTGCAAGAGAGAGCAGGTGTGTGTGAGTCTGTGATTGAAGCATGAGTGTGCAAAGGCGGTTACCATGAGACCGGGCTGTTCTCTGTGCTGCCGATGGGGCCATGGGGAGTGGCTCAAGAGAGAGCAGGTGAGAATCTGATCAAAGCATCAGAGTACGAACTGGCTACCACAGTAGCCGATGGCAAAGGTTTTATTACTTGAAACCTGATATCCTGAGTGAGCCACAGTGTAACCCGGCTCTTGACAGTGCTGCTGATGCCACGCCACGGGCATCAGTGCAAGACAGAGCAGGTGTGCGAGAGGGTGTGTGAGCCCAGCCCAGCCATGCCATAATGCCGTTCTCCCCCTGTGCGGTCTGAGTGCCGTCCAGCCCCCTCCCATGTGCCTCGAAATCCTTTCTAGACGGTTCCACCCGCCCTCACACATCACTGCTGCCTCTCTCTGTCCCCCCACCGTGTGTTCTCCCCCTATCCCCTCTGCAGTCTGAGTGCCGTCCGGCCCCCACCCATCCATCACATCACTGCCGCCTCCCCCTGTCCCCCACCGCCGTGTGTTCTCCCCCCCCCCCTCCCCCCTGCAGTCTGAGTGCCGTCCAGCCCCAACCCATCTGCCTGGAAACGCTTTCCAAGCGGCCCCACCCGTCCGCACACATCACTGCTGCCTCTCCCATCATTTTTTTCCCCCACCGTCTGTGTTCTCTCCCTCTCCTCCTTTGCAGCCTGAGTGCCGTCAAGCCCCCACCCATCTGCCTGGATATCCTGTCCAAGCGGCCCCACCCGTCCGCACACATCACCGCTGCCTCCCCCGTGCCCTCGCGTTCTCCTGCTGCTGCTTCTCCCCCTGCTGCTGCTGGTGCTGGTGGTGCTGGTGCTGCTGCTGCTGCTGCTGGTGGTGCTGGTGGTGCTCCTGGTGCCGCCAAGAAAGATCAGCACGGGCAGCATCCGAAAGCAGAGGCGAGTCACTTGGGAATCAGGCAGGAGAGGGAAGGAAGGAAGCAGCCAGGGCAACAAGAGGGGCATGCGAAGCAGGCAGAGCTCGTGGGGTCTGTGAAGCAAGGGGCTGCAGGACTAGACGAGTCAGGAAATACAGATGTGAAGAGATTGAAGGACAGTGGGGAGGGGGCAGCTGTGCCTCCTCCTGTTGCTGCTGCTCCTGCTGCTGCTACTACTACCACTGCCGCTGCTGCAGCTGCCAGCAGGCGAGAGGATAAAGGGGCCAAGCATTCTAGTGCTGGCGGTGCTTCTGGTGGGGTTGGTGTTGCAGACAAGGGGAAGAAGAACACACTCATGGGCATGTGGAAGAAATCAAAGCCCCAGAGCGAAGTGAAGGTAGAAAAGGGTGGAGAAGCTAAAGCAGTTGAAGAAGCTCCGTTTGGTGAGATGAAGAAGGCTGATAGAGTGCAAGGGCAGCGGAAGGGTGTGAAGGAGGAGGTGGTTGTTGGTGGTGGCAACGGTACTGCTATCCTTGGTGTTGGTGGTGCTGCCAATGCCAATGGTGGTGGTGGTGGTGATGATGATGATGAGGAGGAGGGAGTGGGGTTCTTGAGAGGGGCCGGTGGGCGGTTGGGAAGGCAGGGTGCAAAGAAGAAACGGCGATTCGCAGTGGAGGATGAGGAGGACGAGGAGGAGGAGGAAGAGGGGAAAGGGGGAAGGGAGGGGGAGGAGGAGGGTAAGGAGGAGGGGAATGAGAAGAGGAAAGAGGAGGGGAAGGAGGCGGATGAGGTGAGGATGGGAAAAGAGGTGGCAGAGGAAATGAACATTGGGGCCGTGGATGAAGGACATGAAATTGCAGAGGTGGAAAAGGATGTGAGGGAGGGGAAGGAGGGAGATGGAGAGGTGGGAGGAGAGGGAGTGAATGGAGATGAGGGAAGGGAGGGAGAAACACTTGTGAAAGAAGAGGCTGAAATGAGCCAACAGGATGAAGAGGAGGGAGGGAAAGCGGTTGATGATGATGAGCGGGATGATGGGCAAAACGGAAGATGTAGGCCTGATGAACTGAAAGGAGGAGGGCGGAGTGGCAAGAAGGTTAAGATTGAACACGAGGGTGCGGAGGGAGCAGCCTTTGGAGCTGATTCTATCCGTTTGATGAAGAAGGGGCGGAGAGGAGATGAGGCGAGGGGCCAGGAAGAGGTGGTTGAGAGAGGCGAGGAAGTGAAGGGAGGAGGAGGAGGAGGGCGAGACGAACGGAGAAAGGCTGTTGTAAGTGAGGCTGGTGTGGGGAAACAGGATGGGCCTGAAGGGGCGATCACTACTGAGGAGGGGAAGGGAGAGAAGGGGGTGAAGGTGAAGCGAGAGCACGAAGCAGCAGAGGGAGGAGCTTTTGGTGCGGACTCAATTCGGCTGATGAAGAAAGGGCGGAAAGGATGTGCTGAAAAGGATGAGGAGAAGAAAGAGCAGCGGAGACTAAGTGGAGCTCTGAAGGGGAAGAAGGAGGAAGAGGAGGAGGAAGAGGGAGAGGGGGACGCGTCAGAAGGGGAGGAAAAGAAAGAGAAGGAGGTGAAAGAGGAGGACGAGATGGCAGAGGTGGAGTGTGCAGTGAGGCTTACACCGAAAGGGGCTGGTGGGATGAAGGGGAGGAGTGGAGGGGAGAGACGGATGGTGTGGAAGACTGATATCGACGACAGAGGAAGGGAAGGTGAGTCGCTGCTTCTGTGTGCCTGTGTTCCTTCTGTACTCCCTTGTGCTCATCTTAGGTCCATCGGGGTGACTTTTGAGTCGACTCAAAAGTCACTTCGTTACAATGTCACACGACACATTTTCTACAAGGAAGGGAAGGTGAGTCGCTGCTTCTGTGTGCCTGCGTTCCTTCTGTACTCCCTTGTGCTCATCTTAGGTCCATCGGGGTGACTTTTGAGTCGACTCAAAAGTCACTTCGTTACAATGTCACACGACACATTTTCTACAAGGAAGGGAAGGTGAGTCGCTGCTTCTGTGTGCCTGCGTTCCTTCTGTACTCCCTTGTGCTCATCTTAGGTCCATCGGGGTGACTTTTGAGTCGACTCAAAAGTCACTTCGTTACAATGTCACACGACACATTTTCTACAAGGGAAGGTGAGTCGCTGCTTCTGTGTGCCTGCGTTCCTTCTGTACTCCCTTGTGCTCATCTTAGGTCCATCGGGGTGACTTTTGAGTCGACTCAAAAGTCACTTCGTTACAATGTCACACGACACATTTTCTACAAGGAAGGGAAGGTGAGTCGCTGCTTCTGTGTGCCTGCGTTCCTTCTGTACTCCCTTGTGCTCATCTTAGGTCCATCGGGGTGACTTTTGAGTCGACTCAAAAGTCACTTCGTTACAATGTCACACGACACATTTTCTACAAGGAAGGGAAGGTGAGTCGCTGCTTCTGTGTGCCTGCGTTCCTTCTGTACTCCCTTGTGCTCATCTTAGGTCCATCGGGGTGACTTTTGAGTCGACTCAAAAGTCACTTCGTTACAATGTCACACGACACATTTTCTACAAGGGAAGGTGAGTCGCTGCTTCTGTGTGCCTGCGTTCCTTCTGTACTCCCTTGTGCTCATCTTAGGTCCATCGGGGTGACTTTTGAGTCGACTCAAAAGTCACTTCGTTACAATGTCACACGACACATTTTCTACAAGGAAGGGAAGGTGAGTCGCTGCTTCTGTGTGCCTGCGTTCCTTCTGTACTCCCTTGTGCTCATCTTAGGTCCATCGGGGTGACTTTTGAGTCGACTCAAAAGTCACTTCGTTACAATGTCACACGACACATTTTCTACAAGGAAGGGAAGGTGAGTCGCTGCTTCTGTGTGCCTGCGTTCCTTCTGTACTCCCTTGTTCTCATCTTAGGTCCATCGGTCCCCTTCACCATCCATACTGTATGTTCTGTCTCCCTTTTTATGACACCTCTTTAAATGGCAATGATTGCTCACCTTTTATCACGATTTTTGCAGTCACACGGCAGGTGGAGGTGGACGAGTTTATTGGAGTCGCCTCAAGAAAAGGTCCAATATTTAGCCCTCTCTATACACCTCGTTTCTATCACATGCATGCAGTCACACGGCAGGTGGAGGTGGACGAGTTTGGGAATGAAGTGGTGGCAGCAGCCGTGGACCGTGCAGGGGAGGGGGAAGGGAAAAGTGAAGGGGACATTGATACGGATGGAGGAGCGATGGAGACAGGGGAGCATTGCAACACACCAGAGGAGCCTGTGCCGAAGCAGAGCACCAGGTATGGCAACTGGTCTGGTCTGGTCTGGTCTGGTCTGGTCTGGTCTGGTCTGGTCTGGCCTGGTCTGGCCTGGTCTGGCCTGGTCTGGCCTGGTCTGGTCTGGTCTGGTCTGGCCTGGTCTGGCCTGGTCTGGTCTGGTCTAGCCTGGTCTGGCCTGGTCTGGCCTGGTCTGGCCTGGTCTGGTCTGGCCTGGTCTGGCCTGGTCTGGCCTGGTCTGGTCTGGTCTAGCCTGGTCTGGCCTGGTCTGGCCTGGTCTGGTCTGGCCTGGTCTGGCCTGGTCTGGCCTGGTCTAGCCTGGTCTGCCCATTCAAGGTGCTTTTGAGAATAGCGATGCAGGTGAAGGGAGAGGGGAAGGGGACGTCATTAGGGATGGGGGGAGGGGAGCCTCGCAGCACACTAGAGGAGCCCGATGCGTCGAAGCAGAGCACAAGGTATGGCCACTTCTCTGGTCTAGTCTGGTCTGTCGAATCAAAGTGCTTTTGAAAATAGCGATGCTGGGGAAGGGAGGGGGGGAGGGGATGTCAATAGGGATGGGGGAATGGGGGGAGGGGAGCCTCGCAGCACACTAGAGGAGCCCGATGCGCTGAAGCAGAGGTCAAGGTATCGCCTGGTTAAGAATCGTCCAACTCGCGTCCCTTCCTCGTCTGACGCGTCTCAACGCCCTCCATCTGTCATCCCATGGTCTCCCCTGTTACGACCCTCAGCTGCTCCTTCCTCTTCCCCGTCATCCTTCTCTCCTCTGCCTCTCGGCCAGCCTCTCTGTCTTCCTATCCATTTACTGTATCAGTTTGCCCTAGCTCTACCTTTTGTATCATATCATATCATATCATATCATATCATATCCATCCTGTGTGTATGTGTCATTGACTGAAGTGTTATTCAAGGTGCCATTGTATGCGTCTTGATGGGGCTATTTTGTCTATCTTCCCCTATCCAATGGCAGACACTCAGCCAAGGCCTCTGCTGCAAGCACGAAAGGAGGAAAAGGGCAGGGGAAGGGAGCAGAGAAGGGAGGGGGACAGGGGAAGGGAGCAGAAAAGGGAGGGGGACAGGGGAAGGGAGCAGAGAAGGGAGGGGGACAGGGGAAGGGAGCAGAAAAGGGAGGGGGGCAGGGGAAGGGGACAGCGGCTGCAGGGGCAGGGAAAGGGGCGGCCAAGGGTGGTGGGAAGGCTGCTGCTGGGAAAGGGGGTCCTAAGAAGGGGCAGGGAAGCATCATGTCATTCTTTCAGAAGAGGACTTGAAGGATGTTGACAAACAGGCAGAGTTCAAAGCTATTGGTTCTTGTCGTGTTGTCACATGAACAAGCGTGATATGTATTCTGTACCACAGGGAACCAATCTCCTCCACTGTTAATATTCTCTGCTATCCCATTTCCGATTCAATTTCCCAAACAAACCTGCTTAGGAAATATGCTCCAGTAAGTTATGCATTTAGGGTATTCTTGTAGACAGCTTCCACCCCTTTTGCGAACGTAACACATGCAGGAAACGGAATCCGCCGTTCTTCGTAAGCCTCTACCCAATCGCGCCTCTGGTTCCTGGTTGTTGGGATGTCCACCCCATGCATCGAGGGGCAAACAAGCGGTTTGCCATGATACCGTACCCAACCGTCAAGTATGTACAATGACCAGCTGGTAACGTAACAAAACTGACTCGACCGTACGAGCGTTACACGGATTGGTTGGTTCACACTTCCCTTGCTCCGCGCATCTGACCTCTCAGTTCTTCCCGCAATCCCCGCCCAAATTTCTAGCAGCTGCTGCGTTTGAGAAATTTAGCGTTAGCACGGCTATCTCGCCTTACTAATTGCTAAAAGTGCCTTTTTTCCGTAAGAGTGGTATTTCGCCACATTACTCCTCCCAAATCTCGCCTGCATTTCGCCAAAGCCGCATTCCGCTGCGCACATAGCACTATGCCGTCCGCCTCGCACCACCCGCGCGGAGCTTTTTCAGCCGCGCCCAGCTCTCTGCCTTCCGCATTTCTCGGAAACAATGGCCGCGTCGCGGCGCAAGCGCTCTGCGTCCTCTTAATCCTCACCCTATGCCTAGTCTACACCACGACAAACGCCACGAGCCGCGGACCGTCCGATTTGATTCAGCAGCCGGGCGGGGGAGACGCGGGGGCGGTCGGAACGGGGGGAGGCGGAATGGGGGAGGCGCGGGAGGCGGAGATGCGGAGGGAGAAGGAGGAGGCGAACCTGGTGCGGCTGAATAGACTAGCGGGGGGAATGCCGGGCAGCGACGTGCGCGGATGGATCCTCTCCCCCATGCACATGGCCGCGGCGCACGGGCTGGGGGGTGAGTAGGGCGTGGGGGGGAAGGGGGAAAGGGGAGGGGGGGGGGAGCTAAGGGAGGTCGGGGAAGAATGCGCGGATGGATGCTCTCCCCCATGCACGCCGCTGCACAGCATGGGCTGGGGGGTGAGTTGGGGGAGGGGAGGTGGGAGGGGAGGAGGGGGAGTGAGGAAGTTGGGGAAGCGACCAGGGTAAGGGGACTGGGGGTGGGGAAGAGTGCACGGATGGATCCTCTCCCCTATGCACGCCGCTGCGGAGCATAGGCTGGGGGGGGGGGGGGGGGAGAGAGGGAAGAGGAGGGAAGGGGGGGGGAGAGAGGGAAGAGGGGGGAAGTGGGGGGGGAGAGAGGGAAGAGGGGGGAAGGGGGGAGGTGGGTCAGAAGGACGGGAGAGGAAAGGGGAGGAGCCGTGGGATTTTTTTTGTTTTTTTGTGTTTTTTTTTTTACGCAGGTGTAACATTTATCCCATCCCACCCCATCCCATCCCACCCCATCCCATCCCATCCCATCCCATCCCACCCCATCCCATCCCATCCCATCCCATCCCATCCCATCCCATCCCATCCCATTCCATCCCATCCCATTCCATCCCATCCCATCCCATCCCATCCCATCCCGTCCCGTCCCATCCCATCCCGTCAGGTGCCAAGTCATGTGTTGACGTGCATGTGGGCACGATAGGCCCGGGGAAGGTGCGAGGAAACCACCGCCACCACACCAAGAGCGAGTCCTTTCTCATCTGGGGGGCCGACGCTCGCATCCGGGTGCGTGCATATCTGATTCGGAATCATAATTTGTTCGTGCTACTTTATATGTCTGTATTCTACTTTTGACATGTCTTAAAAGTCGTACTACCGAGTATCTCTGTGTTCTCTTCAGATTCTGATGTGCAGATCTGGGTATGTGTGTGTTTTTCATTGAACCTATCAGAACAACCTATGTTGTTTCTATTCCGTGTGTGTCTATTCCCTATGTATTCCTTTCCCTAGCTGGTAACTCTCAGGACAAAATACCTCGTTTTGTTTTTAAATAAGAAACTGAGATTGTATGGCCGGCTAACATACAACGTATTCCTTCTTTCCCCATCCCTTTCCCTGTTGCTCTCTCCTTCCCTCCTGCTGTCACCTCTTCCTCTCTTCCAACATCTCCTGTTCACAAAATCACCTTGATTCTTGACACGCCTCAAAACTCCTTCCATCCATCACCATCCCCTTGCCCCCAACATCCATGCATCTCACCCAACATCTCCTCCCCCCACTGCAGGCTGATAACCCATTGCTGCTGCCAGGTTATGGCAAGGGATGCTTGTTGCTGTCGTCGCCGTCACCACCACCACCACCACCACCACCACCACCACCACCACCACCACCACCACCACCACCACCACCACCACCACCACCACCACCACCACCACCACCACCACCACCACCACCACCACCACCACCACCACCACCACCACCACCACCACCTCCATCACCCCGTGCGCAAGGACCCAGTCTTTTATTCCCTTCGATCATCCCTTCCCTTACTCCTTTCCCCCGTTCTCCCCTCCTCCCCACCACTCCCAACCCTTTTCCCCTTTCCTCTCCCTTTCCCCCTTCCCTCCCGCCACTGCAGATTGAGAACCCGTCGTTGCCAGCCGGATATGCCGAGGTGATGCTGGATGCTGCTGACGTGGCAGTCTTCACAGGGCCAGCTGGCAGGGCACACGCGCTGGAGAATGTGGACAAGCAAGGCCGTACGCTCATTTTGTCTGCATGTGCGGATACAGAGTGGGATCCTGCCCACCCCGACACAGACTATCACATCTGGAAGGACATGTGATCCTATTCTAAGTGATCTCCGCCCATCCTGACACGGACTACCGTATCACATATGGAAGGACATGTGATAGTGTGCCAGAGACTAGAGATAGTAGCTGAAAACTTTACTGTAATTTTGTGGTCCTTAAGATCAGTCTACTGGGGTGGCACAGGCACGTTTCTGATGCTGGATAGGTAGGTAGTGTACTGTATTTATGTGAGGCTTGACATTATATGTACCTACCAGGCCCCTAGATTGATCGGCGTGCACCCCTGTTGAAACTCTGTGAGTCAGCGTGGGCCCAAATTTTTAGGGTACATTCCGCTGTGGACACTGTCTCAAAGAAAGTGTCCCAATCGTATTTGTTACTAATTGTGACACTCCGAACAGAATGTTCGTGACTAATTGTGATACGCCGAAAGGATGAACAGAAATATGCAACCACTCATGTTACGACATCTGGCAAAGTCGCCACTGTTTATGGTTCGAAGTTTCACAATTAGTGACGAAGAGGTATCACGATTAGCCACGAACATTGTTTTCGGCGTATCACAATTAGTCATGAATATTCTGTTCGGAGTGTCACAATTAGTCACAAATACGATTGGGACACTTTCTTTGAGACAGTGTCCACAGCGGAATTTACCCTTAGGCTGAAAATTCAGACAACACATAGTTTTTAGGCTGAACTATCAGCGTTGACTGCTGCGCAACGAATCTTGCCAACGCTGACTGCTGCGCAACCCCGATTGGTCGGAATTGATTACGGTTTTGCTGTACCAACGCGACTGTGTGGTACCGCGCGTACCAACGTGACTGTGTGGTGCCGCGCGGGGGAAATTTTGATTTCCCGCCCGTGATTGAGGATGTATTCCTACACTTCGCCAGGCTGCCGAAATCCCTGTAATGCAGGTCTCAGTGTGCACCCCCTATACAAGGCTAAGGGCACAGCCTGCACTCCTACAAAAAGGCTGAAAAATCAGCTAAGGTTAAAAGCAAAACACTGAAAAATCAGCCAAGGTACATAAAAAAAAAACTTTGGATTCAGCCTAACCCTCCATAAAAAGCCTGATCTAACGATGAATCAGCGTAAAAAGGCTGATATCCAGGGCACTGGTACCTACTGTGTTTATTGTGCTAGGCTGAGAAAACTTTTTTTTTTTTGGTACGATCGATTTGGCCAGTTTTTTTTTTTTCACATTTTCACATTTTCATATTTTATTTATTTAAAGGTGGAGTTGAGAGCGAGTGGCCGGTAGACAGAGGAGTGGGCTGTGGCGAGGACCAAGTGAAGCGGAAGCGCTGAAGGACCTGGTGCACCATGTGTGACTGAGTCAGGGTGATGGTGCGCCGTGCTCTGTCCCGGATGATCTGCAAGCTAAGATAGCTCCGCAGCTCACCCAGGTCAGTGCAGGTGTGTCTCTCCTGCAGCTTCGCCTTCACTAGGGTCAGTGCCTTAGTGTCAGCAGTAGCAAAAACCAAGTCGTCGACGTACACGAGGATGTAGAACGGCGGCAGAGTAGTGTCGGTGCGTAGAAACAGCGACGGGTCAGCAGTCAAAGGAGCAAACCCAAGAGCCGCAAGTGTCGTCCTCAGCGTGTCGTGCCACTCACGGGGCGCCTGACGCAGGCCGTACACTGGTCGCCGTAGGCTCCACTGGGTACCATCTGGAAACGACCCAGTGAAGCCCTGTGGACGGCGCAACCAGATGGCCTCGTGAAGGCTACCCTGCAAGAAAGATGTCGAGAAGTCGAGGCAGTGCAGCCCGTAGTCACGCTGAGCTGCAACGTGTAGCAACACCCGAAGAGTGGTCATCTTCGGGGTGGGGGAGAAGGTCTGAAAGAAGTCGACCCCCTCACGCTGACTGAAGCCTCGAGCAACGTAACGTGCCTTGAAGGCAGGCGGAGAACCCGGCGGCCGCTTCACCCTGAAAATCCACATGCCACTGACGATGTTCGCCCCAGGTGGGGGAACCTCGTCGACGTAGGTGCCTGTGGACTTCCAGGAAGCCATCTCTGTGTCCATGGCTGTCTGCCACTGAGAGGAGTACTCACCCGAAATCGCCTCCCTGTAGGAGCGCGGGGTGGGGATGTCAAGTGCATCCGGGTCTCCCTCAGGGGCAAGCAGCATGGTCGCGTGATGGGGTGAAGCGGCAGCAAGGCACTCCAGCTCCTCCTGTCTGTCCTCAAGAACGTCAAAGCCAAGGGCAGTACAGCCAAGAGCAGTCTCACCCCCGACGGACGGAGGACAGGCAGGGACAGGGTCAGAGACAAGACTCGCAAGGTAGTCTAGGCGGTACACAGCAGCAAAGTCAACGAGCTCAGCTACTAGGGCAGACGCAGCAGGAGACGAGAACGTAGGGTCCGTCACAACCGTAGCAAGAAGGCGAGTAACAGTCGGACTGGACACACGAGCAAGGTCAGACGGAGGGTCAGCAACGTCAGGCAGAGAGGACGAAGGAGGTAAAGGTAGTACAACACGCTGAGGAACAGAGGAAGGACGGAGTGTCATATCGTGAGTGCCGGGGACAGCCGGAGCACGCTGACGACGAACACGAGGAACACGAGCACGGACAGCAGCTCTAGGCTCAGGCTCAAGGTCAAAGCTAGACTCAGGCTCTCGACGCTCAGGGGTGGAAGCACGAGTCTCAGGCTCTCGACGCTCAGTCAGGGACTCTGACACTGCAGTGTAAGGAGCAGGAGCAGGCAGTGGGGAGTGTGGTAGCAGCGGTGGCTGTGACTGGTCCGCTGGCGGACACAGCAACGGAGGAGTAGTACCTGCCACAGGGAAGCCAGTAGCACCTGGCGGAAGACTGAGAAGGTGGCGAAGAGCGCCAGTAGCTCCCGTACCTCCAGCACGAGCAGCTCCTCCAGTACCCCCAGCAACACCTCCAGCACCAGTAGCACCAGCACCTCCAGCACCACGAGCTCCGACAGCGCCAGCACCTCGAGCACCAGTAGTACCTCCAGCACCTCCAGTGCCTCCAGCTCCAGCTCCAGCGCCTCCAGCACCAGTGGTACCTCCAGTACCTCCCGTGCCAGCAGCTCCAGTAGCACCTCCAGCACCAGCAGCACCACCTGCTCCGGCAGCTCCAGCACCTCCAGTACGAGCACCTCCAGGACCAATAGCTCCAGCACCTCCAGTACCTCCAGCGCCAACGCCTCCAGCACCAGCAGCACCAGCACCTCCAGGGTCAGCAGCTCCCGCAGCTCCAGCACCTGTAGCACCAGCACCTCCAGTGCCAGTAGCTCCAGCACCTCCAGTAACGGTAGTACCTCCAGCACCAGCAGCTCCAGTACCTCCAGCTCCAGTACCTCCAGCACCGGCAGCACCTCCAGTAGTAGCAGCTCCAGTACCTCCAGCACCAGCAGCAGCTCCAGTACCCCCAGCACCAGCAGCTCCAGTACCTCCTGCACCAGCAGCACCTCTAGTACCTCCAGTAGTACCTCCAGCACCTCCAGCACCAGTAGCACCTCCTGGACTAGTAGCTCCAGCACCAGCAGGACCGTACCCTCCACCACCAGGACTGCCTCGCAGAACGACCCATGCCAGAATCGCCTGCGGCGAGAGCGTCTCAAGTAGAGCAGGCTGCGGTGGCTGTCCAGCTCCAGTACCTCCAGTAGTGGTAGCTCTAGCACCTCCAGCACCAGAAGCACCTCTAGTACCTCCAGCTCCAGCACCTCCAGCACCAGCAGCAGTTCCAGTACCTCCAGCACCAGTAGTACCTCTAGTACCTCCAGTAGGACCTCCAGGCCTAGTAGCTCCAGTACCTCCAGCTCCAGGACCTCCAGAAGGACTCGCAGCACCCCCAGAGTCAGCACCCGAAGTCTCAGCACCCCCAGAGTCAGCACCCTCAGGCTCAGCACCTTCAGTCCCAGCACCCTCAGTCTCAGCACCCTCAGTCTTAGCACCCTCATTCCCAGCACCCTCAGGCTCAGTACCCTCAGTCTCTGCTCCAGTGTCCACAGCAGTAGGCTGCAGAGGCGGCGAAGACGGCAGAGGTGGGAACACGGGGGGGGGTAGCCAGACGAGGAGAGCGGGCACCCCCAGACTCACCACCCCCAGTCCCAGCTCCAGTAGTCTCAGCTCCAGAGTCCACAGCAGCAGGCTGCGGAGGCGGCGAAGACGGCCGTGGAGGGAAAGCCGGGGGGGTCGCCAAGCGAGGAGTGCGGCGAGTGGTCGCCGTGTCGTCGGCTACGGCGTCACCCCCCTCAGGTGAGTCAGAGGAGTCATAAGAGATCTCAACTGGCTCATCCAAGGGGGGTGGGTCTACCTGGGACACACCTGAGGGAGCAGGAACCTGTGGGGGGAGGGGGTCTACCGGGGGGGGGACTGGTACCAGGAAGAGGGGTGCAAGGGGGACCGGGTGGGACGCGTGCGGGTGAAGTCGGTAGTAACAGACCGACTCGTCGAAGGTGACGTCCTGAGAGGACAGAACACGACGCGAGGCAGGGTGGTAGAACTGCCAGGGTGGAGCGTCGGTGGGGAAGCCCAGGAAGACACAGCGGAGAGTGCGAGGAGAGAGCTTGCTCGCTTTGGTATCGCGAACAAGGGAGAGCGCGCCCCAGACCCGAAACGACGACGGATCACCAGGCTGTCCCGTCCAACGGAGTGTGGGCGAGGTCTCTGGTGCAGAGACACGGGGCCAGAGGTTGAGCTGATGCGCGTCGTATCGGACCGCAAACGGCCACAGGAAATGGGGAGCAGCCGCATGGATCATGGGGTACGAGCAAACTCCATGATCAGGCCAATGCGACGCTCAACGATCCCATTTTGCTGCGGAGAGGCCGGAAGCGTGAACGACTGGGCGATGCCCTCATCCTGGCAGAACGTCTCAAGGACCCCAGAAAAGAACTCACCACCCCTGTCAGAGTGCAGACGCAGGACTGGGAAGTCCTACAAAAAGCGCTCGTGTAGCTGGAGACGAGTAGCACGGATCTAGGGGATCAAAACACCGCTGACGTCCGCCTTGCGACGCAAGGGGAAGACTGTGGTGTAGCGTGTGTAGTCGTCAATAACCA